GCTCCCCACAATGAGAAGCCCGTGAGCAAGGCGTACACGGGGTAATCATCCATGGTGAAAGACGCACGACTGACTGACAATCCCACTCCTCACCATGTAGACTTACCCAACATTGACTCTACACTACACTACTTCTAAGGTTGTCACTACAGGACTCTACTGCTGACTAGGAGGCGTTTAAGGAGATCCCCCAAACTCCTCGGGAATTATTTAACGTCGCAAACAGGACGACGTGATCAACAGATCCCTCTCAAGACTTAGACAGAAATGCGCAGCCTATAGCTCGGAGTTCAGGCCTACCACGCCACACTGAGCAACCTGCCGGTCTGTACCGGTGTCGGGCGGCCCAAGCCTTACACCGCCCTTTACTTCCTTTGGAAAGTCTACAGTTGAGGGTCGGATTTCACACGGTGACTTGTTCTGGCGGTTTTCACCTTGCAGACCAAGCACATGGGAGACGATTTGCTGATGATGGGGGAGGGGCGAATGAGAAAAACACCAGGCGCAGGCGAGACTATGAGAGAATGCGGGCCAAGGAGGGTAATTTTTTCGAGACGCGATGGTAACCGGAGAATTTATTATTTCAATAAAGGCAGGCAATTCTAATGCTAAATTGCGCTACATTGAACGGGTGACCCGAACTCACGACCGCTGTTGAATTATAATTACGGGATGAAGGTATCTCAAGAGTTGCGCCAGACCTTGAGCTGACGAGCAAGACAAAAGGTAGTCCGACTTTTGCGGCGCGAGTTTGGACAAGGGAAAGGTCGACAACTGCAGGGAAATTAGTGTATGATCGAACCACAAAAAATTACTGAGACGGACGTACGGGTGATAAATTTATTCAGACCAACAAACGACCGAGGAGTGGGAGTCTACGAGCTTACGGTGAAGTTGCCGCCTTCGGGGACGCGCATGGGAATAATGTCGGGGAAAGTTTAAAATTTCACTCCCCGATAATCGTGCAAGGAGAAACGAGGACAAGGACACAAATTTGGGTCCTCGGAGCGAAGTATGGACCTGTGCTCTAAAACTAGGTTCCAAAGTGGGACGGTACCGGTGTCGGGCGGCCGCAGACCAGTCAGCCACCCGACATACAAGGGATTCGCCCCTCAACTGAATTATCAGTCAAGAATGTAGCGTACTCTTGTCGACGCCATCGGGGAAAATTAGGGGTCGTCGTCAGGACCCTAAAATCCCCCCCACCGACCATGAGAACTGACCCTTGAAATTAACATGATGAACAGCCGCGCCTACCGCGCCTAACACCTGCCGTTTTCGTTCGTTCCGAGGATGTTCCGAAGCGGCCAACTGCGGAGCAAGGGTATGTTGCTAGGCCTTGGCGCGCCCCTTTTGCACTGAATAATTAACGAGGAATTGAACCCTCAAATTTCATTAATTCTAATAACAAAAAAAAAGTATTAAAAATAAGAAAAGGGAAGAAAATAACTGAATATTTGCTCTTTAATTAAATTTCTTCGGAATTTATCCTTGATAAAATTGTTGCGAGGCCAAGGCCCTGATGAGCCCCTTTTGGCCCTATTATGCAGCACGTCGGCCGCCCTAAGTGAAGGCAGGCTCGACGAGGACCTGAGGGCCCCTATTTCGGTCACCACGCAATTGTGGAAAATTCAGGCAGTTGCGCAGCGCCAGTTGGTTGAAGAGCACCCAGGCCCAGGCCGCCTGTTTGCATGCATGGAAGGCAGGCCCTGGGCTGGATACGGGATATGGGCCAAATACAGGCCGAGGACAGTTGGGCACAAGTAACCACCACAGGCCCTGGGCCTGATTCGTTTGGACTGGGCCTCAGCCTAACGGGGCCTACCGGAAGCTTCTCGGGACAGGCCAAGCGTAGCAGCAGGCAGGCCACTTCCATATAGCAAAGGGCATGCCTCTGCATTGGACATTCGGGTGCTGGTTGCATGCTGCGCAAGCGCTGCTGCGCTAGAGCTGGCCAGCGCTCACGCGCTCACGGGCGAGCCGGAAGGAGCAGGCAGCCATAATCGAGCTGCGCCGCTGGGAGTTGGGTGTGGCGCACGGTGGTCCTTGGGTGCATGTGGCATCTGTGCGTCGGGGAACGAGGTTGTGAGTGAAGCGAGAGACATACCTGGTGCTGGAAGCGTGCGGCATTAGCCGCTATCTGCTCGCACTTCGGTGAAGCTGTTGACGTCATCCGGCGGCATTGTAGAGTAGGCTAGATAGGATCTGCCATCTGTAGCCTGGGCGCCGAGTACCAGATAGGATATCAACATTGGTTCTTCGTTGATGATGATGATGAGACTCACTACGAACGACAGAGATCAGCTAAAGAAGCTTCACAACCTGCCCATCCCACCCGGACTTTGGTCCCTCTGTCCGACAGGCAGCTTCGCCCTCGCAGGTAAGCTTGGTCTTTCAAGGAGGGGGGGGGGTGGCATACTGCGCATCAACACGGGCCTGCAGGGCCCGACCAGACGGAAAATAAGGGCCCTCCAGGCCCTGTGTCGTTTCAGCCTAAAGCCTGAAAAGGGGGGCCATTTTCAGGCCCTCATAAAGTCGACCTACCCTGAAACTTAGGCGCCAGACCAGGGTTTAGCGCAGGCCATTTTTGGGCCTGTTCAAGACGACCTTTGTTTGAACTTCAGCGCCAGGGTCTGGCACGATTCGGCATGGGCAAGAGCAGCCTCCCAGGCCAGACCAGAACTATATAGTACTGGTCCGCCCTGCAGGCTGCAGGCAGTTCACGGGGAGTTCACAGACACTTCACGGGCAGGGCAGGAGGCAGTCTTCAGGAGTTGGCAGCAGCACTCTGCAGGAGTGCTGCAGTAGTAGTAGCTAGCACTAGGAGTAGTCTTCAGCGCTGGGCGCTGCTAGGAGCTTAGAGTAGCTTTGAGAGAGAGAGAGAGAGGTGGCGGAGGCCAGGGAGACCTACCTGTGGCGCCTTCACAGGTTAGTACCACAGAGACAGAGAGAGAGAGAGAGAGAGAGAGTTCTTCTTCTTCCTCTTCTAAGTCCACCATGTCTCCCTCACCCTCTCGCTACCTGACTTCTCACTATCTGGCAGACTACGAGAGAGAGAGATTGCGACTTTGAGATTTGATGACATTTGGATTCAGACTCGACATTGGGATCGAGACATTGGATGAGGGATTATTTGGGGCCTGTATCGAAGACTTGGTGTTGACGACATTCCCATCTTCCCCCTTTTCTTCGTCTGATCCCCCTCCTCTTCATGTGTATGTGGGGACTGGCTCATTCTTCCTGTGTGAGCGCCAGGCCCCTACACACACTGTGATGATGATGATGTAAGTTTGGTCTGCCTTGCGACATTGATTGGTCTGATCATTGGTATTTTAGCCTTCTGCTGCGCTATCCTGTACTATTTGAGAGAGGTCGGTTCTTGTTCTGGTCTGTACCGTTACGGTATGCAACAAATACACAGGGGTCTACGGTACTGCGAGGATCTGGGTCCTCGGCAGGCCCTAAGTGAGGGCGGGCCTAACAAATCTCAAGAGCCCATTGCTGTCAACAAATACACAGAGGCCCTTGTTACAGATGTGCCCGCCCTAAGTGAAGGCGGGCCTAACAAATCTCAAGAGCCCATTGCTGTCAATTTCAGGCAGTTGTGACGCCCCAGTTGGTTGAGGGAAACACAGGCCGAGCAGCAAAGATATTCCACGGCCTTCTAGGCCTTGCCTGAAATGCAGGCCCTGGGGCAGAATCACGGCTTCATACACAGACAGTTGGGAGGCCCAGCAGCTGCAACAGAGGCACAGCCTCCTGGGGCCTACCGGAAGCTTCTGGGCAGAGGCCCAGCCCAGCCCAGCCAGGCCGCCGGGGCAGGCAGACTCTTTCCATATAGGAAAGAGCTCACTGCCTGAAGGCTCATTCAGGCACTTGCCAGTTTGTGCAGCAGCGCTGCTGGAGCAAAGGCTCGCGTGCTACTGTGCGCTAAGGGCAAGGTACTGCGTGTGTGCGGTCGTGCAGGAAGCAGGGCATTGCTGAGGGCAGCGCCATAGCCCAGGCTCCATAGCTGGCTGAGGCTTGGACAACAGTGAGGCGCAGAGGTGGTCTTCAGGTATACAGAGGGAAGACGTGGGTGTAAGTCGAGGGAAAGAGAAAAGGATGATGATGATGATGATGATGATGATGATGATGATGATGTGAGGGCACATACCTGGTATTTGTGATGGTCTGCATCTAGGCGACATCTTCAAGTACTTCGTCGGCTGCTGACGTCAACAGTTGCATTGTCAATTAGTAGGCAGATAGTAGCTGTGTAGGAAGTAGGCTGGGGGCCGAGCGCCAAGTAGGGAGAAGGACCTGGACTCTTGTGTTGGTGTTGGCGAGAGCAAGCTCTCATTGACATTGGTTTTCAGTGTAACGATTCTCCATTCGTGTCATATTGGTGCAATGCTGCTTTCTGGACACAGTGATACTTTCTGGCTTTCAATGTGATTGTGCATTCTGGATATTGTCATCTCGCTATTGCGCATTTTCCATGCAGTACTGTACAAGGGAAGGGGGGAAAGGTCATGGGATCGAACCCTGGGATCTGCATCTGTCACATGACATAGGTGAAACTGTTTCATAGGAGGGCTCAGCTACTTTTTCCCCCCTTTTATTTTCATTGTCTCTTGAGGGAAATAGCTGCTAACATTGCTGTATTGGATAGGATCTCAAGTTTTGAGCACTCAATTTGTTGATGAATAACTTCATGTGTGTATCATTTGGCCAACGGAGGTGGCAGGGAGCCAGCTTCAGCCAAAAATTGAGAAAAGTTTTTGATACTTCTGATGCTCAGTTGGTACCCCCAATGAACTCTTGAAATACAGACCCGAGTTCAGATGGAGAGGGAACTATTTGAATGAAATTCTGAATTACCTGGGGCTGGTCAGTTCCAAGATGATTTCTCAAGGCCATCACCCTTTTTTAAAATCGGGTTTTTGATACTTTGAAGTTGAATAAATAAAAAAAGGTAGTTCTGATGCTTCGTCAATAAATTATGGTGCCTGATGCAGGAGTTTGATACCTGGCTGTCAGGTTTGGGGGAGCAAGAGCGACAAGAAGCGAACGGATTTTTCACTGTGATCCAAAGAAAAGGATCTGAAGAGCCTGTCAGTGTTGGGACTGTGGAGAACCGAGTTCACCTCGAGTGCTTCACTCAAGGAAATCTTCAAGCTGTTCCTTACTCACAGGAGTACAAGCATCATCTGGAAATTGCAGCGAAAATCCTCAAGGAAGCAGCAGATGCAGCAGAGTCGCCAAGGTCAGGTCTAGATCAATGGGATGAACGGATGGCTTTTGCCACTGTGTTGAGGGTGGATTGCTGCTGACCCCATGAAGTGTGTATCGCATTGTAACGCACATGCATAACCCATCGAGTTTTGGCTCTGTCAGATAGGAGAGGTGCAATCAGACTCGCTGTAACGGGCGTGAGGCTGAGGGTGAGCCGAGGGAGATGAGAGAGAGGGAGAGAGAGGGAGAGAGTGAGAGCACACACACACACTCACTCACTCGACACGACGGACTCGGACTGAGGGTCGGACGCAGACACAGTGGCAAGGCACAAAGTCGAAGTCTTGGATTCC